TCTTATTAACCTTTGTGGAATATCGCTATTTGGGCGTACGGCCTAATTAGGCCTAGCGCTTTATCACGTGACTAGTGGATACTACTAGTCTATACTAGTACTAGATCACGTGGTATAAGTGGCGATACTAGGTGGTGTGATCGCTTATTAATAGCGATTCAAGGGATTTCTTTTATCTTCTATTATTACCACCTATTATCTATATAAGGACGCTTCTACCTCCTAGATAGTTATCTCAACTTAAGTCTTTTAGTATCTAGTAAATGACCTCCTCCGACCGTACACTCAGACCTTCTAACAACCTTAATCCTTACTTCTTCCGATATTAGTTTCTTAAATTTTAGTGTCTTAAATATGTTTAGATAGTATCTATAGGTTACGTAAAATAATGATATTCCTATTACGGCAGTACTATTATTAAATGCTATTTATGCCGTTAGTAGTAGTTATACCTAATTATCTTACTAATAGTTAACGTAGTATCGTAAATATTATTCTAGTATTTAGTTTATTCTTTCCATTTAACTATCTATCTATAGGTAGTATACCGTTAATAACTTTATGTCTATCCCTAATAGGTCTATTAAGGATTACTAAAATTATAATGTAAACAGCTTATCTCTATCTAAGATTATTTCATTTAGTATCCCGTATTATAATATAACTATTCTAACGAATAAGTAGGCTAAATCTCTTACTATTACCTTTTCAGTAAATAGTAGTATATATACGTATTTCGTTAGTCTTTTAATAACCACTATAATACTATTATACTCTTTTCTCGTAAGGAGTTCTCGAGATATTAGTAGTTTTATAATAAAGTTAATTATAATAGAGTCCTATAGTCTATTTAGTATTTATAGTACTATAAGTAATCTATATAGTTTATATCGTTCTTTCTTTATTTTCTTATAGGTATCGTATTTTCCGATGTATTCTTCGATATCTTTTCTGAGTCCTTTCTATATAAAGTCTCTTATAATTAACTTAATTATTTTTATAATTCTAGGATACTCTATAAGTTAGCTATCGTATCTCTCTTTTATAATATCCCGTTTTTATTCTTTAGTTAGCTTAATATCCATAATTACTAAATTATAGTTATATCCTCTATATTATAGTATCTATTCGTTAGTCTTAAGTAATATATTAGGTTTAGGTCCTACTACCTCTATATAATCTAGTCTTCTACTTAATATATCTACCTAACCATTTTCGGTTCCTTTAATATAGTAGATTCTAAAGTCGTATCTTACTAAAGTTTCTACCTATCTCACTTATTATCTATTTAAGTCCTTTATCGTTATCTAGTAAGTGAGATTTTTATAGTTAGTGAATATCTATACTAGATACTTTACTCCTTCTAGATATACTCTTCATTATCGTAGTGCTTCTATAATAGTAAGTAGTTCCTTATTATAGATATTATAGTTTAATTCTAGTTAAGTTATTCATCTTAAGTAGTAAGCTATAGGTCGTAATTAGCCATTCTTATCTTTCTATATAAGATATACCCCTATTACCTCGTCTAACGCATCAGTTTTGAGTATTAACTCCTTTTCTAGGTCAAATAATATAAGGATAGGTATAGAGGTTATCTATCCCTTTAGTCCCTTAAAGGCGTAGTTACATTTATTATCCCAGTTAAAGATATAGTCTTTCTTTATTAAATTTATTAGGGATACCGCGATTCTTAGAAATCCTTAGATAAACCTCCTATAGTAGTTAATAAGACCTAAGAACTATTATACTTCTTTTACACTCATTAGTATAGGCTAGTCGTTAATAGCCTAAACTTTATTAGGGTTTAGCGCTAGTCCTTATAATAATATAATATAGTCTAGGAATACTATTGTATATATATAGAATTCGTATTTACTCAATTTAATCAATAGATCCTTTTCTTTTAGTACTTATAGGACTTTCCGTACGTATTAGATATACTTATCGTATATTTTGGAAAATATAAGGATATTATCTAAGTAGGCGACGATAAACTTATCTAAGTATTCTCTTAGAGTGTCGTTAATAAGTTCTTAGAAGGTAGTTAGTACGTTAGTTAGTCCGAAGGGTATTACCTGATACTTATATAGGCCCTATCTAGTCCTAAACGCTATCTTCCACTCTTCTCCTTCCTTTATCCTTACCCTATAGTAGGCGTCCCTAACGTTAATTACTGAGAATTATTTAGCTTCTAAGAGTTAGTCCTATAATTTATTAATTCTTAGTATTAGATATCGATTTTTCTTTATTATCGCGTTAAGGCGTCTATAGTTAATACATAGTCTTAATCCCCCGTCCTTTTTTAGTATAAAGAGTACTATATAAGCCACTTTTAACTTTAAAGGTCTAATAAACTCTTTTATAAGGTATTTATTAATATACTCTTTAAGGAAGTCTTCTTCTTTTTTAGACATTAGAATTA